AAAAAATTTTTACAGATATTAAAATCTGTAAATTAAAATATATGATTCTATATTCTTTCTACATTAAAGGAGCGTTCATTTCATTCGTTTATCATAAAAAATGTAGAAATCACACCATTTTTAGAAACATGCTTACAATTTCATTGCTCTAGAAGGGCGGGCATTTAAATAAACTCCGTCCAGCTGCCCCTACCGGAAATTAAATGGCCCGTCCGATAAAGGTTAAGAAATAATAAATTCAAAATTTAATACCTTAATTATAATTATAGTTATTTTCACAAATAACATAAAATTGTCCCTGTGCTTAACTATTAAGTACTATGCCATGAAGGCATAGGGAGGAGTGGATGTATAGATCCACATTTTCTTGATCTTGGCACTAGCTGGAGGTGAGTGGTCAGCTTCGTGTCCCTGCCGCGTTACCCCCGGTACCCATTGGATAGGAGATTGGGTGGACCCCAGAGCTGGTCTGGGCGATGAGCAGAAGAGAAAATTCTTGACCCTACGAGGACTTGGACCCCTTGACTGTACAGCCTGTAGCCAGTCTCTATACCAACTATGCTAAATACTGTTAGATTTAGCAATCAGAACTCCTCATAATAATCTTTTTTATATTTATTCTTAAGGAGCCAACAGTAAGGTGGCATGTTTCTCTAAGAATCTGTATTTTGGGGGAGAACCTCACCTTATATTCGGGCTAATACAGTATGTTGTGAAATTAATCAAGTGGTCTCCCACAGCTAAATCTGTTACTGGTTTCATTTCCTTTCTTACCTTTGCAGGTAGTATGCCACTTTAAGTTATGTTACAGCTACTTCTCTATGAGTTACAAGAGATTCCTTTTTTTCTGCAGATGGTTTATCGTTTCCAACTGCTGCTTCCTCTCCACCATGTCGTTCTTCATACCGAAGTCAGCCTGAGTATGTGGCTATGAAACCATCCATTGCAGTGTCTGGTGGTCCTTCTGGTGTCTCTGAAATCAGTGGGGGCCCCTCAGGAGAGAGGACAGAGCAGGTTTCTTGCAAACCAGTGAGAGAAATTTCTGTTTTACATGGTAGTTTTGGATATGACCATTGAAAAATGGATTCTATCAATGATAAAACTATTAACTACTTTAAACAGTGTACTGAGTATAGTTGAGCAGCCAGAATAACTTAGTCAATATAGCGATGGGCTAGGGGCTGGACAGCCAGAGTTTGATTCCTGGTCTAGGGCAAAAGATTTTTCTCTACTCCACAGTGTCCTGGCCAGTGCTGGAATCCACCCAGCCTCCCGTCCACTGGGTACTGGAGTGAAGTTAATCACCCACCTCCACATAGTGTCAAGGTCAAGAAAGGTGGAACTATTCCTCCACTTCCCCATATGTTTTCATGGCGTGATACTTAATTAAGCACAGGGACAACTTTACCTTTTACTGAATAGCACTGTATATTACACTCTTCATACAGCTACTTAACAGTGGAGTTATTGGACCAAGTAAAATTTAATTTTTCTTTTAACCTTTAAGAGTCGGCATTTAAACCCCCCCACGACTGCGCTGCTGCCGGAGTTAATTTGACGTTGTCCTTTTAATATTGTAGACTTTCAGAAAAAACTACATATTTTCCGTTCTATGCAGCTTAGAAATACGAACTAAAAACCGCCTGAAAGATAATGAAATTTCCTACAATATACCTATGGCAATTTTTACAAATAAAAATTAACTGTGATTGTAATGTCATGAAATTCAAAATATGCTCTTTATTATATGTGTAATGAAATTCCAAAAGACTTACCCATAATTTTTTCTTCAAATTTGAGACGTCGTTATATCCAAAATACATTGACACTATACACCAAAATGTTTGGTCAGACTGTACACGAGTTTCAACTCGTTGCGTCATGTAAGTTTACGCTACTATAGATACTGCGTGCGGGAGCGCGGAGAGGCAGAGTTTGCTTCAGCGCGTTGTGAAGGTCACACAGACCTCACTTCTCATACGCTGGTAGATAATCTGGTTCAGTCTCTCGCTTAGCGAACAAACAGGAAGTTATTGTTTCTATCTGGCTGGCCGGACAGTGTTGTCAATGTTCAGTTCCAGATGACTCTATGAAAAATCTTGGCTTCCCCAGATAAACAGTCCGCCACTGACTCACAAGCTGATAATTCAGACACTCACTAAACACGTCACACTTCCTTGAGAGCTACAGAAGCAGTGATCTGCCCGCACAGAGGAATGTTGGGTCAGCTTTTCTGTGAAGAAGCTTCCACTCTGTTTGGCTGACCAAGTCACAAACAGTCTTGCCTACATGTAAACGAAATCGAACCCAGTGCCATGATGAAGGGTTTTATTGTTCAGAGCCAACAACTGGACCTCTGACTTGAACTTGCGTGTATATGTTTTGGTTTAAAACTCAACGTCTAACCGTCAGCACTTCTAAAGTGAGCACGTGTCTTGCGTCCAGTATACTGGACTTTCGGCATCTTCGAGGTCACAGGTACTGTCCGGTATACCGGACTTTCGGTCGTTAAAGGTTAATATTTAATTATGTGACACTTGCTATTATTTTGTTCAAACCTTTTATTTTCCACTCACCTCCAACTAGTGCCAAGGTCAAGAAAATATGGATCTCTATATCCACTCCCCCATACATCTTCGTGATCCAGTGCTTAATTAGTTAAGCACAGGGACAACTTTACTTTGTTAATGTCATTAACGTCATGATTAAAATGTATAAAAGCCTAATTTACATGACTGAAATTTGGTTTCTCACTCTAAGAATGGATGTTGAAGCAGTAATACTGAGGGGAATGTTTGGATCTGAGAAAGATTGCACTTGATAATGAATGTAGTTGGATTGCTGGTGGCCTGAGAACTACTGAATTGAAGTGTGAGGTGCTTTACATATATCTCGTATATGCTCTTGAAGTCACAAGAAGAACTTTACCGTCCATATTTTATCCTGTTATTCTTCTTGTACGTAGTAATTCACAAGTCCCTCTGGAAACATAATTTAGAATCACATTACCCTTGCAGCCATGTTATTTGATCTACAGAGTGATTTTAAATTATTGTCAGGGTTTCCAGAGGAGCTTATAAATTACCCTGAATAATTATACAATGTACAGTGAGGAGCTTCATAACTTGTACTCTTCTCCAAGTTTAATTAGAATGATCAAGTCAAGGAGGATGAGGTGGGCAGGGCATGTAGCACAAATGGGGGAGACGAATGCATATAGGATATTGGTGGGAAAGCCAGAAGGAAAGAGACCACTGGGAAGACCAAGGCGTAGGTGGGTGGACAATATTAAAATGGATCTTAGAGACAGAATGGGATGATGTTGATTGGATTTATCTGGCTCAGGATAGGGACCAGTGGAGGCTCTTGTGAACACAGTAATGAACCTTTGGCTTCCATAAAATGCTGGGAAATTCTTGAGTAGCTGCAGAATTGGCAGCTCCTCCAGAAGGGCTCAGCTCCATGAGTAAGTAGGTAAGTAATTATACCATGTACCTGTCACAGCGTAATGTTGTATTGATATCATTTATTTCATCAATATATATTTCTGTCACAGTGCAACTCAAGATTGTTACAGTCACTTTAGTCTTTATTCACAACATGTTTTAGCTGTATACAGCCATCATCAGGTGTCGTTGTTATGCTGCTCTCTTCTGCAGTGCTTGTATAAATTTAAAATTAAAACCAAATTGTGATTATTATTCAAATTAAAATTAAAATCAAGAGAAAACCGAACCACTTTTACTAAATTTAATAGGTAACCTATTTGAACTTGAATATTAATTGCAATTTTAATTCTAATTTAAAATCGGGACAAGCAATGCTGTGAACATTTTAGCATAATGAGGACAACTGATGATGGCTGTATATGGCCGAAACATGTTGTGAATAAAGAGTAAAGTATCTGTAACAATCTTACATTACATTATGATGGAAATATATATTGTTGAAATAACTGTCATAGCTTACATTGTAGGTAATTGAGAGTAAAACATTGTCTTGGACTGTGGAAAGATTTAAAACAAGGTTTTTATTTCATTGCAGGTTGTTATGTCTGTACAAAATGATGCAGTGGTGGAACATAGTAGTGTTGAGAGTGTGAATTCTTTGCATGCCCAGTCAGGCCTCAGTGACACATCTCCACTAACTCTAAATCCAGGAACCACCCCAGTTTCAAGGCCAGAAGGCACTTCTATGCAGCACACTCATAAAAAGGTAAAACGTATGACATATGTATTTGGAAATAAATTCAGTAGCATTGTAATTGGGGTTGACAGAATTTAAATTTCAGAATATGGATGTGCTCTTAATTTATTTTGATAATGAGAAACTAATTTTCAGGTGCTAGAACCTTAAGCCATTTAAGTGTGTATAACCGAAACCTGCCATTTAACATGATTCAGGGGAACTTCACTCTACTTTTCATCCTGAACATATTTTCTTATTATTCATCTGACCACATGGAGGACTGGTGGTGCACTATTATGGCATAGACACGTTGCTATCTTCTGCCCAGCAAATTACTCTTTAAGCGTACGTTGAAGTAAAGGAGGAATTACTAAATGACAATGATTCTTAAGTCGTTGTGAATGAATAATAATGAGTCAGTAAAATAATGACTGCCTCTGTGGTCTGGTTGTCAGTGTTCCTGGCTACAGATCCAGATGTCCTGGGTTCAATTCCTGGTGCTACCAGATTTTCTGAGAAGTGATGGGTCTGGAACAGGGTCCACTCAGCCTCGTGAGGATAAGTGAGGAGCCATTTCAAGGAAATAGCGGCTTCGGTCTAGAAAACCAAAATTAAGGGCCGTGGGGATTTGTTGCGCTGACTATGCAACACCCTCTATCCGCTAAAGTTGGCACTAACTTTTCCGAGAAGCAGCGGTCCCTCGGTCGGTATAGTTCACTTGCAGACTAAAACCAGTACGAACAAAAATATTACAAACAAACAGATGGTTTAGCTATGGGCAGTGGCGGCTCGTAGCTAATATTAGTGGGGGTGCTGCTCCAGAAAATTTGTAGCCTATGTTTTAAAATTGTATAAAAGGAAACAAACATGTATAAAAAGAAAATTTATTCAGAAACTTGATAAAATCCTAAAAGAATAAAATCAAATATTTTTTACTTACTTTAACCTAAATTGTTACAGTTCAAGCTTAATCTATTCATTTAAAAATGAAATCCATTCTTTTTAACCTTTATATTATGCTCATTGATTGAAAGTCTGTATGCCTCACGAAGTTTCTCCTTAATACTTACGGTTCCTAAAAGTGACGGTGAAACTGCATTATCAGCATGCTTCTTTGACTTCTCATGCTTTTCAGTTTTTTCTTTCATTTTGTTTATATTTCTAAAACCATCTTTTGTCCACGTTACATCACCCCCAAACAGCAAACACGGGAAGCAAAACAGTGCATTTTTTACTTCACAGCCGCAAAGCCAACTTTTCCGTTTGTACCATTCAGAATTAAAGCTACCAATATATTTCTTGTTCTTGCTTATGCCTGGCTGAGATATTAGAATATCAGGTGTTAAACGACCTCTTTTCTTAACTGCATCTTTCTCATGGAGAGACAGTTGTGAAAACTTAAGCTGTTGAAATTTACTTACAGTCACAGAACTTATTTCTCGGGGATGCAAGGCCATGGTTAAAGTTTTCTGTTAAATAAAAGAACCAAAAAAAAATTAATCAAATAGAATAGCTGGAAGGAGGATAATAATCTAATTCAACAATTAACTCATAGTTTTTAAGCACAACACACGCAGAGTAAAAAAAAACTGCCTTCCACCAGCACGCCAGGGTCGGCACTGTCATTCCTGCAGTGCTCCATCTCCCTTGCAGCCTCGCGTGTAGCTTCCTATGTGCGCATGTGCACAGTCAACGAACACCTCACCGCTGGAACCGTGAAACTCACAGTTCCATACAAAGATTTGGCTACTGACATTAAGCTTAAGGATTATATATTGTATTGTACAAGTATAAAGAAAGAATTAAAGAAAAAAGGACTCATTATATAAATGTTATCGATAATATCAAGTGGAAATTGGGGGTGCTACAGTTCCGCAGTGCCTATACACGGGTCGCCCCTGGCTATGGGAGCTCCAACATCTGCAATATTAGCAGAAATACACATCCAGAACATGGAGCACACACAAATATACAACATATTAAAAAATCAGAAAATAATTGGATATTTCAGATATGTTGACGACATACTAATATTGTATGATATAAACAAAACAAATATTGACAACATGATTGTGGAATTTAATAAACTGCAGCCAACGATAAATTTCACAATAGAGAATGAGAACCATAGATCTATAAATTTCTTAGATATAGGAATATATAGAGAAATGGAAAAGTTACAATTCTCAATACACCGAAAACACACAGCAACGGACATAATAATACCAAGTGACTCATGTCACCCACAAGAACACAAGATATCTGGTATTAAATACCTCATAGATCGAGTAAATAACCACCCCATCACCAGAGTAGCAAAAGATAATGAGATAGAAACTATAAACAACATACTCATAAATAACAAGTACAACACAAATATAATTACAAAACTAACTACAAATAACAGAAAACAAAACATTGCAAAACAGCAGAACATCACAGAGGATTCAGAAGAACAAAAAACAAAAACGAAATGGGCAACATTCACATATATAGGAAAAGAAACAAGAAATATCACAAAATTATTTTGAGACACAAAATTAAAAATAGCATTTAGAACTAAGAACAATTTACAACATATATTAAAATGAAAATCATGAATAAATAAATATAATAATAGCGGCATATATAGTATGAAATGCCTAGATTGCCCCAAGGAATATATAGGACAAACCGGGAGGAAATTTATTACCAGATATAAAGAAGACATACATGACATAAGACACAATAACAGTAATACAGGATACTCAGAACACATATCAAACACAGGACATGCATATGGTACTATAGAAAACACTATGGATATCATAGCAACAAATAAGAAAGGGCAATACTTAAACACATTGGAAAACTATCATATACACAGAACGACAAAGAAAAACACATATGAACAATATAAATAAAAAAATATATAACCCAATATACCACGAATTACACACTATCTACACAGAACAACATAACAACAGCCCACCACCTACCCCCACCACATATACCCCCACAACATCATAACTCAATCAAAACAAAGACAGCACACACAAACACACACACACACACACACACACACATGCCCAGCAGGCCCAGCAGTATAACACACGCAGTCACAGGAGCAAGACACAACACAAAGCACATTGAGTATTAAACATTATAATACCACACGTAACAAATAAAATTCAGAATGCGGTATTAATGAATAACAATTTCACGTTACAGATACACACATGAAAGTAGGAAGAATACTCAGATAGAAGAAAATAGGTGTGACTCGCGTATTGAGATACGACATAAGGATGACAAATCCTGAACAGTTTTAATATTTAAAATTTATCATCATATATGACGAATATATATTTTAGTCATTTTAGTATAAAGACAACAGGGCATGCAATGAAGTAGTTCGACGTGCATAGAAAAGCACCTGAAGATGGCACTTTAGTGCTGAAACATGTAGTGCAAGAGAGAAGAGTAAGGTGAATAAATGTATGCACTGTAAGACGGTCAGAATAAATCATGGACATAAATCAGTGCAACAGGACGCTAAAATATAACATTAAAACCACAGAGTTTTTTTTTTTAGTCAGTAAAATAAAATAAAAGAAATATTCAGTTTTCTCCAGATGTACAGCTAAATGATCATTTCCGTGGGGACTCCTATGGCTAATTCAACAGCTTATTTCTAAAAAATGTCCAGTTAAAAATATGCAATGCTCCTTTTTGTTCCCACAGTTTAGATGATATTTCTTTGTGTCCTTAATTCTGAGAACCTATGACCATTATAAATTCAGTAGCTTGTTTATGGAACAGTAAATAAAAATGTTTCTCTAACACTGTAAAGAAGATAGGTTTGTTTGGGAGTGTCCTCATGTTTCATAGATCTGTCATGTAGAAATAAATATTTAATTCCTCTTCCATATTTCTTTCTGACTTCTAGAAGAAAAATTTCCTCACACATATTTTGAGTACCCTATGTCCCAATGTTGGAAATTTTCTACTTTATTTGTGTTTCCTGGAACTCAATGGTGAAAAGAAATAGTTTTGTTATCTGCCATTTTTCATTTCTAACTCATCAAGTAGGTATTTCAAATGTACACCAGTCCCAAAAGAGTGTCCCTGATAAAGTCAAGTTAGCTTGAAACCTGTTTCATACATTTGTTTGTGATGGTTACAGTTGAAGTCCCCTAAACATCAGAAGAAGAATTTTGCTGCTATTGGCAGAAGTGATAATTTTGACAGCATGTGGAATCGCAACGTGAAGACTGAGAGTACTTTGCAGTATCTCAACCAACAGTATAATCCCATGTACAGTATGATGCTTGGTAGACTGACTAATAAAACTCTTGAAGCAGCATCAGATGTGTCTGATGATGATGATGATGAGGATGATGAAGAAGAAGATGAAGAAGAAGAGGAGGAGGAGGAAGAGGATGAAGAGGAGGAAGATAATGACAATGGTGTTGGAGAAGGTGATAGGTACAGTAACCAGTCCTCATTAGCTAACAGGTTTGTAAATTCACTTGTTATTACATAATAACTTGCATTATGGGAGAGACAGATCTACTCATATTGAGGTGACTCTGCAGTGGCTCACCAAGCAGGTTGGTGTAGGAGAACTTACAGATTCAGCATTCAGGAGGTCTTTTCTTAAGATCCTGGCTGATTTACAGTCTCTCCTGTTTGATATATTTGGTAGTTATTTTCAGCCCCTTCAGGTGAATGCAAGGTTAGTTCTTTGAAATAGACCGTGACATTATCTTTCCAATCCTTACCTACTCACCATTTTTAATAATGTTCAAACCTCATTCAGTGGTTTACGATCTCATAGTTAAAATATTACATTAAGTAATCAAAGAATTGATTGTTAGGCGACTATATTTGGGACTGAACAGCTTACCCAGTGCCTGAACTGATATGTGGCATTTGAGAATGAGTTACCAAGAATGCTGTTAGGAATTGGTTGAATGGAGACTACAAGAAACAGGACTCCATAACAAGAGGCAAACACAGAACGAGAGCCTCTGCAGAAAGGACAAGGGAGCCATTAGGATTAAATTGGAATGAGCTGAGATGTGTGACAGGAATTTATACAGGACACAGTCACTTGAAAGAACATCTTTTTAACCTGGGACTAGTAAATAGTCCTGCTTGTCAAAGGTGTTAGAACAAAGGTGAAACAGCCCCACATATCCTGTGTGACTGTCAGGCCCTAGCTAATTTATGATTTGGTCTCTTAGGACTTCACTTCATCAAACCAAGTGACCACTTAAGTGCCCCACTAAACGAAGAACAGCATATCATTGAAAGTGTGGGACTGCTAGAGGGCTAACTTAGAAGGAAGGTGCACAAAAGTTTGATGTGTGGTCATGGTGTAAGGGCCAGTATGGTGCACCTCTTAATCGGTCATCTCACGCAGTAGTACTTTATCACTTCCTTCAAATTATTGTCCCTCTGCTTTGTGACAGCCAGTTGGGAAGCTCTTTCATCACACTTCTTGCTCTCACACATCTTGTAATAATTATTAAGTCAGGAGAGAAGTATGTTAATGCTTAGCATTTCACTGTTTACTGTAGTTAGGGTGATATACTGGCAATACACCAAGTTGACATTTCTTGTAAAATGATATGCAGACCAGTGTTAATGTCAGCAGTGTGAGAGTTCATGTAGAGTAACAAGTCAAGAAGAAAACGTAGATTGACACTTTCTAAACTGTGTAAGGGAACATGATGTTTATGTTTTGCCTGTGAAAGCCACAGTTCCATAATGTGTCTGCGCTGTCATGATATAATATATGAGAACAAACAATATAAATTTTGTGCTTTTTATTAGATTGTATGTAGTTCAAGTTTAACATTTTCTGAAATGTCCAAAAAATCTAAGCCAACATCTGCATTATGTTAAGAGGTGGTAATGTCTCTAGTAGGGGATTACATAACTGGATGAAGTAAAACAGAAACTTAATACGAAACGTATCTGTGAAACCTCAGAAGGCCTGTATTGTAGGTTCCACAAGTCAGCATTGGATATCATATTACTTTCATGGGGCTTCATTAGTACATTTTGTTGCAGATCGCCACATAGAATTTGTAGCAGTGGAGGTAGGTCAGGATATGAGTGTGGAGAATGTGGTCTTGTGGCTGACACTAGGCCAAGCTTGAAAAAGCATATAGCAATTTGCCATCCTGCTCCTGGGCCAGATCCCAGCCTTGCTCATGCACTCTTGAGCAAGATATCTGCATCGTGTCCAATGGCTTCATGTCGGTTTCATACATCAGAAAGGGATGAACTGGAAGCTCATGTAGCAAGGCATGTTGCTGAAGGATACAGTCCCACAGGAAAGAAGCGTGCCGGTCCAGTGTCTCTACAGAGGGTCAGGTGAGGCTTCAGTACTACATTCTGACATTATGGTTTTGTCAAAAGCAACATTAATTCTATACCAAAACAGAATACTTATTGACTGATTGAGTTTTCATTTATTTGCTGGTGCTCTTCAAACTGCATAGGTTACATTTTCTTTTGGGTGGGGCAAGGTTGAAGAAAACAGAACTTATGGATGAATGTTAGAAAAGTGGCTTCATGTGGCTCAGGACAGGTTCCAGTGGTCGAGGTACCAATGGTACCAGTCCTTTTGGATCTCTAAAACACAGCAATGTTTGAATGACCCGGGCAGCTATCAACTTTTCAGGGATGTCACATTACCATTGAGTGTCTTTGTTTGTTTAGGTTATAAAGTACCAAATTTTAATTGTGCATGATAAATATGAAGGGATATGGGAAGAAGCGTTTTTAGCACATTTTAGTGTACTTTCTTGGAATTTGCTTAGGGAAACAGGAAAATTACAAAGAACTACAGCCAGAATATCCAGCTTGTGGGCAATGATTTGTACCAACTACAAATGAGGAATGCTAACCGGTATACCGTAGTATTTAATAGTGCTGGTAGCTTGTGACAGTTTTGACTTGCATTATATTTATGGTGAAACTACACTTGAGATTTCTTTGGAGAGAAGTTAATTTGAGTACTTAACTGACAGAACACTGAAACAAATATAGTTTGTTACTGCAATTATTGACTTTGGATCTCTGAAATTGAACATAAAATGAGGGAAAACCTTAAATCAAGAAACATTAAGTGGCTGTTCTTCTGTTCTTACATTACCATTCTGTGTTTTTTTATTGTATTCCTGTTTAAGAAAATTATAACATCAGCTTTGTAAGATAAATATGCAGTTTGATTTTTATGTCTCATGTTGCATGAACTAATTGTAATATAACTTCTCAGGTATGAGAGAGAAGAATATCGCTGCCAAATGTGTGCATACACATGTACCATAGAGAAGGCATTTTATAAACACCTGAAATTACATTCATTGGGACTCAACGTGTCATCTGTTAAAATTTCTTGTGTTATTTGTGGCAAGGATAGGCCTACAGAAGTGGACATGAATAAGCATATGAGGCGCCATCGAGATAACAGATACTTCTGCTGTGACATATGCATTTTTAGGACAGTGCAGCTGAAAAAGGTAAGTGCTTTGTAGTGATCAGCACTCTGGCTTCAGTATTCACATTTGAATGTTAGTCTGCAAACCAGCTATCATGAAGTATTTTATAGTTTTCCTCAATTCTTCCAGGCTAATTTTAGGTCATCCTAGAATTTTATGCTGTATGACATATGGAGTAGGTTAAATTGCAAAGTTGTCCCTGTGCTTAACTAATTAAGCACTATGCCATGAACGCTTATGGGGAGTGGATGTATAGATCCACATTTTTTTTTTGCCTCAGCATGAATGCCTTCATGCCTTGGCCACTTTACCCTCGGGGAAAGAACCCCTGGTATGCATTAAATAGGAGGTTGGGTGGACTACAGAGGCGGTCTGAACAATATGGAGAAGAGAAAATTTTTAACCCTACTGGGATTTCAGCTCTGACACCTCAGTTGTCTTGCTAGTAGCCAGTTGCTATGCTGACTGCGGTAAAGTGTCATTAAATAAAGGGAGGCATTATAGAAAAAGAATGTTAAGAAAATTGCTAGTAATGTTAATTTTTACACAGTGGCACATTTATAAATTGATCTCAGGGTGCTGTTTGCTTGTTTAACTTATTCCTTGACTCTTAAGATAAAGGAAATATGTTTCTCCCAAATCTTGACCAACTTCTTCCAGGCTACACAGCATCATGTCCCAGCACATGGTACTTGTAAAAATATAAGGTTCATGGTGAAATTAAGAGCAGGTTCAGGAAATGTTTACCATGTTTACAGTTGAGAAGATGGTTTGTATCCCTTCTGCTTTCCAAAAACTACTATAAATTAAGATAAATGTATCTGAAACAATAACATGTTTCGGTTGTTTTGTATGGCTGTGAAACATGAGCTCTTATGGTGAGAGGAGAGGTACAAATTATAACTAAGATTAATATCTCCTGAGAGGAGCTGGGATAGTGCAGTTGGTATAGTGACTGGCTAACAGGCTGGATGTCCCAGGGGTTATAGTTTGAGTCTCGGTGGGGACAAGAATTTTCTCTTCTCCAATTTGTCCACACTGGCTCTGGGGTCCACCCAACCTCCTATCCAATGGGTACCAGGGAATCTTTCCCTGGGGGTAAAGTGGCAGGGGCGTGAAGCTGAGCACTCGCCTCCAGCTAGTGCCGAGGTCAAGAAAATGTGGATTTATACATCCACTCCTGCATATGCCATCATGGCATAGTGTTTAATTGGTTAAGCACAGGGACAAATTTACCTTTTAATATCCTGAGATGTGACACAGTATAGTCTGCTAGGCTAATTTCTCAGAGGAACCTGTTGCCTAAATCATCAGGGTAGGGATAGTGCATTGGAATGTTGGTTCCAATATACCAGACTGCACAATGTCACATTTCAGAAAACCATTACCTTAGTGTTCATCTTGAGAACCTTGAATCTCACATAAGTTGAAATGTGATTGCCCAGGAAAGGACATGGTTGATGAACTGGCCACTTTTGACTTGGATATGATGGTAAAAGCAAGTGATATATACAGTTCACTTAATGTGTTAAGTTAGTCATTTCAGAGAGATTACATAGACTGAACATGTAGTTTGGCTGGAGAGACAAGGAATGCATGCAGAATTTTGGTGGGATAATCCCTTAGAAAGCAACAAACTTGAATTCAGTTTTTTAATCGCATCTAATTTATGCGGGAGCTTCTTCCCAGGTATGTATGGATTTTCACTGTTATTTTCAATCAGAAGTGTATGTTTCAGTCTTTCAAGGCAGAGTGTATAGGTGCACAGGATTAAACCAACATTTACATGCCTAGCAATAAATGTATTAATGATGCTGAAATGAGTTTAGTTTTATGGGGTTGGGACAGTAACTTAAAATAGTCCAGAATCTCTTCTGTGCTTATTGTTCCCAATTCATGATTCGTAATAATCAGGTAATATCTCATTGATTGCTATAGAACCGTTGCGGTTGACAAACCAAGAAACATGATACTGTATGTAATAGATGCAGCTGTTTTATTTTAATGTGTTGGTTTGTGCAGCTGATACAGCATAGGCGAATGCACACTGGAGAGAAACCACATTTGTGTCCTCACTGTGCGTACCGGTCTGCTCGTCGAGACAATCTTCGTTCTCATGTCCGTCGTGTACATAAGAAAGAGAATTTGTATTGTGATACATTTTCTCCGAGAGGACTGATCCTTACAGCCACTGCTACAACACAGCAGCAAGAGCAACTAGAACCAGCCAGCCCAAACCCTAGCCAAAACTGAGATACTGTAGTCACTGAATGTGATTTATAGACAATGTTTCATGTTAATATTGAGTTCTTTAACCCTGTCACTGTTAATGAAGAAAACCACATTGGTTGGATGTGTGTTAGCCAGTATACACCCAAATGGCAGAGTCTGGTCAGCAGTCACTAATTGTATTCATACTGGAGACGTTAACCCTTTTGTCTTGAAAGTTTCCTCCTATTTTTCAGATCATATGGAGTAAGATATGTTATCAATAAATATCAAATTTGGATCATAACACATCATCTGATTTGCCAGAATCATTATGCTATATTCATTACTGCAACATACTGTTGGACGTGGTCCATTGTTTGAGGTAGGGCTTTGGAAATGCAACTTAAATCTACCAGGCACATAACAAAATTCACTCACTCATAGTCTTACAGTATACTTCATATATGTATTTTATTTATTGTTTTATTAATTATTTGTGATAATGTCAGAAAAACGTGGCTCTCTGTACGTTTTGAGTTCAGTTTTCTGCTGTCCTATGAAGGCATGCTATTGTACATTTTATTACAGTTCTCTTGTATATTTTCTGCATCACATTTTGTGCTGCTGTGGATGAAGAATATGTTGCAAATATATCTACATATGAATTATCTGCTACACTCTTTTGTGATCTTGGGCTAGTATTTTTGCTTAATTTCCTGTTGAAATATCTTGGATATGATGCTTGATCATACCAGGAAGTTGTCAGGTTGTTTGTAATATTTATTTTGAAGATCTATTTCAGTATGCATTTCATTCCTATTATGATTGTGTCAGACTGTTGCTTTTAATTCATCCTGTTTAATTTGCCTGTTTCTATAATAATAACATATCCATCACATGATTCCATTTTATTAACAGTTTCACAGACTATTAATTTTGCCACATTTTGTTTTGACTCTAATGGCTGCAGAAAGTATTCACTGTTGACTCTTTTATTTGGCAAAGTCTACAGAATATTCTGTACTGAGTTTCTTTTTACTGACTTAACCAGTCGTGGCAGTATATGGTGGATATTCAAACACCAGTCATGTGTCATATATATATATATATATATGCATGTTCATCAAAGGGTTAATTTCTTGCTCTCATTTCTTGTGTATGTATATGAATTTTTTTTTAAATAATAATCATATAATGTTACAGTGCTATGTGTGGCAGAAGAGTTCAGTCCGTAATGCACAGTGTGCTTTTCCACATAGTGAAACTATTCTGTCAATAACAATAAAAGGGTTAATATATTCTTTTTTTACAAAGGTTCATTGCCTTCTGGTTTCCATTTGTTGTATAGTCATACCACAGAAATAAATACTCTTCTCTATGGTCAAAATGGACACTTTGTGAGGAAGTCTTATAGATATTGAAATTATTTACTGGTTACAGTAATAATTGCAGGAGGAGAAAATACACATATAAGCTGCAGATGCTGTTTGTGGTGTTAGGTATTACACATGTTAGCCCATTTTGAGCATTGGCCTAATGTAGTTTCAGTTTTTTATGTGCTGTAATAACCAAGTTTGTTGACATTATTAACATAGCGTAAAACATTAACAGTTTAGTTGATAGAGCCTTGCAGATTCATGAAACATTACAGTTTCAACCATTCGGTGATGTAACCAATGAAACTATGGCAAATGTGCCATTCCTTTGTGCTATCTGACAATCCCTCATTCTCCCTACCATTTGGCTGCATACACTTACTTCATCCCTCCACACCCCCCTTTGTTCCTGTTGATTATGTTGGTCTAGCAAGTAATACTACAGGTTTGCATTCATGGGGTAACAAGTTCAGATCTTGGCAAGGTTACTGCCTATCCTGACTGAGGATTTTTTTAGTTTTCCTCATTCTTTTCTTAAATGAATGCAACATAGTGCCCAAATAATAGGGCACATTGCACCTTATTAACTCCCTTCGTGTCCCATCCATTGCAATTGAGACAGCATCTTTATATAATCCAAGAATCATTTAAACAAGTCCTTTTTAGGTCCTTTTCTCCATCTTTGTCTTTCCTTCCTACATTGCATTATTGTTTAAGACAACCACAGCCCTAAGATTTCTCTCCCAGCACATACAAATTTATTGTTTTTGTGCCCAGACCTGAATGGTTTATCATTCTGTTGAGAAGTTCAGTGACACAATGATAAACTAATGCTAAGTACCATATCTGCTGTATTTGCAACATATGGGACTCATTCTTCCCCTAATGTTATCCTGTATTTCACACCAAAGGTTCTTTTTCTACACTGAAACCCTCATATAAGGTTTCTTTTGGGACTACTGTATTTGAACACAAAAATTAGGAAAATCTTATGTGGACTAGGATGATTGATGTAGGACCGTTTAAATTTAATGTTAAATGAGGGAAAACCTTAAACTGAGCAATGCTAAATGGGGGTATTACTGAACTTCCAAAATGTGGTAAGTCAGAAAGGCTACTTTTGGGAGGGAGAGGTGTATTTAGATATTAAATGAAGCACAATATGTACCTGAAAGTATTTCTTTTTTAAGTATTTATTTGTTCAATCCTGAAATTGTGGTGTAGCTTATAGGCTAGAAGTATGGTTATACAGTGGGTCTGACTTCCATGATCTGATGTCTCGAAGAATATGTTACTGTGTGAAACATTATTGAGGGCATATCATACCTTCAGTAGACAACCTAATGGAAGGCAGATCATGTATCTTCGATGAGAACCACGGTATGGCAGTTTTGGCTTCCATCTTATGTTGAAAATACAATCTAGTGACTAATGATAATGTAGTGATCTGGATCACTATCCAATAATGACACATCCTCAAAATGTACTAGATGCATGTTCTCGCTCCTTGTTGTCTTTGTGCTACTTCATCGATATATTAATATCCACACTCCACATCTTTGTCTCTTCCCATTATACAACACTACATGTTTCAGCCTAACTTGTCATCATCAGGTGTATAAAATGTTGAATTAAAGGAACCATCTGCTCTGTTATCACACTGCTTTGCTTTTCATTTTGATGGAAAGCACTTCAAAAATATTCTACTTTAGGTTCTTTTTAGATTATCATGCCATAGTTACTGTATTTGTATGCACATATCTGGTGTGTGTAATATATAATGGGTTCTATTTATGTTTTATGTATATTCTGTTGTTCTCTGTCTGTAGTTGTGATGTTAATTACGTTATTCTTATTCTTTTGTGCTGCGTATAGCTGTTCTGAGTGTTTCTGTGTAGTTAACTCTGTTTTATATAGGATGTAGGGCATGTGTGCTGCTAACTGGTGTTCATTTCCTGCAGTACTCTGAAACGGTGATATGTGTGTTGATGTCTGTGTTGTTCATTTGCAAGTTATTTTTGCTGATCTTGTATATATGCATTATTTTTCCATTGTGTTTAGGTGTTTTCTACTGTATGTATATGGCAGATATAGGTAGTTACATAATATTTTTGTTAAATGTTTCGCTAATCTGTGTGTGGATGTGTTCTTCCAGTAGATTATTGTCCTGATGGGTGTGTTTGTTTTCTGTAATTATTGGTCTGGTGGATGGGGGCATATGGTAGCATAGTTGGTTGAGGCATTATACTACAAGCCGGAAGGTCGCGGGTTGACGTCCCGATGAGGTCATTGGATTTTTTTCAATTTACCTAATCCTTCTGGCCGCACTGTGGCCCTGGGGTCAACTCAGCCTCTAACAGAAATGAATACCAGGAATTAATTAAATAATGTTTCTGGGGAGTAAAGTGCAGCCAGCGCGTAAGGCTGACAACCTTACCACCATCTTTGAGCTGATTGTCTAGATAATGTGGGACTCTCAACGTCTCACAACCCTATGGGCCTTCACGGCCTGTTACAGAAATAGCTTTACTTTACTTTACTGTTCATGATTTGTTTATTCCGTCTTGCAGTGCATACACTTATCTATCTTCTTCTCTCACTCTCACTACATGTTTCGGCATAAGAATGCCATCTTCAGGTGCTACTCAATTCACGTCAAACTAGTACATTGTATGCCTTGTCTTCACTTTAAAATAACTAAAATATATGTCCATCATATATATTGACAAATGTCAATCGTAAAAATATTAAAACTGTTCAGGGTTCCCGATCACTACGTCGTATCTTATTACGCCAGTCCTGTTCATCCTACTCTGTTGGAGCTCTTCTTCCCTATCGTGTATATTGTGTTTCTGTTGCGTCTTGTTCTTGCGACTGCGTGCGTTATGCTGTTGGGTCTGCTGGGTATGCACTGCAAGACGGAATAAACAAATCATGAACTTAAATCAGTGCAACAGGACGCTAAAATATAACATTGTTTACTTTACTGGTCTGGTGGATATGTACACAACTCTGTGCATCTAATTATAGATCTAAAAACCTTAGGAATTAACAAAGACATGAGAATATGCTTATTTTGCATAGAAACCATGTACACTAACATACCAAAAATAGAAACTATGGACATAATAAACAACATTCTAAAAATCAACTCAGGTATCAATGAAAATAGCCAAAAGGAAATAATACACATACCAGAAACAGTAATGGAACAAAATTATTTAATTTGAGCAGAAATATTACAAACATGGACTAGCAGTGGGTGCTCTAACATCAGCAGTATTGGCTTAAGCATACATTCTAAAGATGGAATGCAAACAGATATACTGAATATTACTAAAACACCAAATAATCAGTTACTTTAGACATGTGGATGACATCCTTTTAAACTATGACCAAAGGAAAACAAACAAGAGAGGAAACATTGGCCAAAATAAAGGAACAACAACTCACTACAAAATTCGCTATAGACAAGGAATGACACAATTCCATTAACTTTCGCAGTCTTTCAATATATGGCAGGAAAAAAAGAAAGAGATCAAATTTACAATGTACAGAAACCCAAGTCAAACAGATTATCATAATACCCAACGACTCCTGGCATCCACATGAAGAAAGAATATCAAATATAAACTGTTTAATAAGGTAAAGTTGTCCCTATGCTTAACAAATTAAGTATTACACCATGAAGGCATATGGGAGAAGTAAACAGATTAA